CTTTTAAATCTTCCCTTTGGCAGCCCTTCTTTGCATCTGTTTTAGTCTGAATATCTCATTCTCTAATAGCAGTGACTAAAACTGTAATTATATTCAACTGCTGCTGCCTGTGCCTTGTGCAATAGAATCAGTATCTTCATATCACTGCTGGAATGGAGGCTGACAGGAAAAATCCTAAAATCAGTGATCACACTTCAACATTTAAAAGTTTTATTTTCTTTCCTTTGGTAATGAAACCCCTTCAATTAAGATCTCCTTCTGCATAGATAATTAGAAACTCAGAGATGACCTAGAGGCTTTTTCTCTTTCTGACTTTGCGTAAAGGGAGATTATTTTATGTCTATACCTTTTCATTTCCTGGTCTGGACTCTTTCTTCCTGCCTTTCAAAATCAGAGCAAGGACATTATGTCAATTTTGCAAAGAATTGACATAATGACTGTATTGGCTCTGGCTGAGGTGGAGTTAATTTTCCCCATAGCAGCCCTGATAGTGCTGTGCTTGGTATTGCTAGCTAGAGAGGTGTTGATAGCACACCAGTGCTTTGGCTGCTGCTAAGCAGGGCTCACACAGCATCAAGGCTGTCTCTCCAACATTCCCCCGTCACCAGTAGACTGGGTGTGGGCAAGGTCCTGGGAGGGGACATAGCCAGGACACCTGACCCAAACTGACCAAAGGGATATTCTATACCATATGACGTCTGCTCAGCATGCCGGCCGGTGGGAAGTAGAGAATAAATCTTTTGTTTTCCTTTGCTTCTGCATGCAGCCTTTGCTTTTGCTTTATTAAGCTGCCTTTATCTTGACCCACGAGTTTTTTTCCATCTTATTTTCTCCCTCCACTGTCCTGCTGAGGAGGGGAGTGATAGAGCAGCTTGGTGGGCACCTGGCGTCCAGCCAAGGTCAACCCACCACAATCACTTTCTGAACTAAAGCTTGAATGAACTTCCCAATTTTCTTTCCAGGATGCAAACCCGGCACATTTCAAATGGGAACATTGATCTGGGCAGATAAACCTTGTTGTCTTCTCTGACTTCATGAGTAACCTGGAATGGTTATCTACTATCATCTTGTGCTTTCTTATTCTAGATTCAGAATTCACATTGATACCTCATTTTTTTTCAGGTTTGTTGTCATTTTCCTGGCCAAGGAATGCCCTGGTGCATTGATACACATCCTTATTTCTGTAGGTGTGACAGCTGACTCAATTTCAGTTTGTTAATTGGATAACTGCACAGCATTCCCAAGGGTACTTCTGCAAAGCAGGATTTCTTTAACACGATGTTCTGCATTAGATTATTCCTTCGCCCATTGTTAATTTTACATTTTCATTCTTCAGAGGCACTTTTTTCATTCTAGCCTATTTTATTCTCAAATTCGTGCTGCACTGAAATCCTGTTGTTCAAAATGTTCATGATCCCTCCTAGACTCACCTGTGAAGAGAATTATCATGTTATCAGTCTATCCAAATGATTAAAATATGCTAGTATTTGACCCAGCACTAATCTCTCTGCTCCCTACCAATAAACACCCTTAATTTAAAATTATTTTTCCTTATTTAGCCAGTCCTGATTCCTCTACAGTTCTCCCTATTCCATTTTCTTCTGTTAAAGTATCATGTGGGATTCCACATCTAATGCTTCAATAAACTTCCCAAAAATAGTTTTGCTTTATACACAGTGCTGTAGGAACACATCCATGATAGCTGGGATTCCTTGCAAACTGCTAACATTTTTTTTTTGAAGTAACTAAAAATTAATTACAGCTAGAGTGATAAAACTGTTGCGTCTGCACATTTTAAAGGGATTTAGAGGGAGAGCAACTTGTAATTAGTGCCTGATAGACAGCGCAGCACTTGAAACACTGAGGATCAAAGAGTGCCGTTTGAAAAGATTCAGTAGATGCATCTTGTGAATTTATACACACAGTGGCCTAAAACAGTCTGAATTAATTACTCTGTAGCTCAACTCAATTCCATGTGTACTTTTAAAAGCCACACCTAAGATAAAACATTGTTACAGCAATAAAGAAGAGGAAAAAGGGTGAATGAAGATAGTAGCTTCCAGCAAAAACAGTGTAATCACAAATCCAGATCTTGCCCTAACTGAAATAAACTCCTCCTTCCCTATCCTCAATACAGCAATATGTAAAAAATTAGCAATACATTTAAACTGAATCAGAATCTTTTCATAGAATGAACCAATTTAAATACAGCCTTTTTCTTCTTGCTCTTTATATGTAGCCTTGACCTCATTGGTTTAAGAGCTATGATTTTTTTACCCTCTATAGTCACAAGACTGAACCGGTGTTTCGTGAAAGATTTACCTAGTGTTGTTGCTATCACTTATCTTTACATGCATGTGCTCTATCTCAAATATTACTATTTATGCAACTCAGAACCAGACTTCCTTTAGTGCAAACCAAAGATTAAAATCAAGCTTTACAGAGGTCTAACAGGAAGCCCGTGCACTTCTCATGTCCTGGTTTCTGGGCAGAAGCAACACACACTGGGATTCTACAGAAAGAAAGCAACCAGCTGCAAGTACCATTTTGCAAGTACCCTTTTGGAGGCAAAACAGTACTTGCCTTCACTCCTGTGGGATGGTTAAATGCATTTATATATATCCACTTGGAAAGGCCACCTCAAATAACATGGAGACAACGCAGATGTCTTCACAAGTATATTGTAATTTCTTAAATACGGGATCTAAAAAGTCAGCCAAATAGCTGCACTCATCAGCCTAGAATTTGTTTAATGTAGTCTTCTGGGAGGTGAGGCACCTCATAAAGAACTAGAAAAAACCCTGATATTTAAATAAAGCTAATTTGAGACATTCTGTACTCGTTCAAAAGACGGTAGCTTTCCTGGTTTATGTTCTGTATCAGCTCCTAGAATAATGTTAAATTTATCCATGAGAAGAATAGAGAGTACTTGGAGAACTTCTCAATGAAGAAAAATTCTTGCATTATGGCAAACAGAAACAACATTCTACCTGCAAAGCCTGGTTCAGCTTATGCACTTACCCCACTGTCTGAACATTAGTAACTCAGAGGTTTTATTTGTATAAAAATTAAGTGCAAATGTTATCACTTTGTTCCCTACAGGTAAGCCTTATCTTAAATAAATACTTATCCCAAAAAAGCTATGACTGGAAACTTACATACTCGGAATAATGCCTTGGATAGCCTTATGGATGATGCCATGACTTCGCTCTTTGCCAGGGAAAGAAGTGCACTATGTACGTTGTTACAGGAGACTATCCTGTATTGTCTGTTTTGATTTAGGATGCTGCCAACACAGCTTAACTCTGTACAAGCTGCCTTGATCAGAATAATGTTGACATTTCTGTTTTATATGCTTAAACTGTCTTACACCAATGGGAAAGGCTTTATCTCGTTATTCTTTTACTCAGTTCTTAGCAACTGGAATGAAGAAGGAAAGTTGTATAAACTACAGTTGCACCAAGATCATAAAACTTTCCTTTTTAGTATTTTTATTGACTTATTCAAGGAACTACTTTTGGTGTTTGTAGTTAAAAAAAAGGGGGGGGGGCAATGAACAACATACATTCTTTGAATTCTTATCTTCAAATTGCTGTAGCTTTTTAACTTTTCTTTCTCTCTGTTTCTGCTTTTCCCTTCCTCACATACTGAATGACAAAGGCTTCTTTAGTCCTTATGCACCTAGAATTTGTTTGCATTGGGAACAATTTAAAAAACATGAAGGCTACAGCGTATGTGCTTATGATGCTTACTAGCTCCATTGGCAAAAACAAGCCAGAGAACTGAGGAAGCACCAGAAAATTATGCATATCTGAGTAAAATGACACAGGTAACAACCAAAAATACATCAGATTAAAAAAAGAACAGTCCAAATCAAATGTTTTCTTGCAGTCACAGAATACTGTGTAGCAACTCCTAAGATAACAAAGGATCTCAGCCGTCTTCTTCAAAGTTCCTTTCCTAAAGGCAGCCTAGTAACATTTTCAACGTTTTAAGACAAGTACAGAAGGCAACTATCAAAGTAAACGTTATTTTTAGTAGATAGTGCAATGACAGGTGATTAGTTCCAAAAAGGCAGTGACAAATGCACTGGTTTTTAGTGAAACTGGACATTTTATCTACTGCATAAAACATGCATTTAATCTAGTAAATATTTTAATGTACTGTAGCTGTCTACTAAGAGGCAAAAACTCACCCAGAACCCTGTCAAGCCATCTTATTAATGGGTACATCCCCAACATGTGACAGCAGCTGTGTCTAACTCAAATTTCACTGCAGTCATACGGTTTTAAAGAACTCATGTGTACCTTCACGTTGTTGAAAATGTTGTTTCATTGACGTACTACATCGTCATAGCTTACCACACCACCCTTCTTGACATAAGCAGAAAGTTGCAAAGCAATGAGCAGTAAGATCATAGTAACTAAACGTTAACTCCACAACTCTAATTTCAAGAGGATGCATATATGAAAGTTAGAAGAGAAAAGGAAAGGCATAATTTATTATTTCATATATCAACTGCTGATCTTCTTGACTGGAGACACCTAAAGTTTGGCATCCAAAACTAAAGCTTCTATAGTAAGCTTCTCACTCGCGTGACCTATTTCAAGACTTTATTTCCTTTATCCTGTGACAGGAATGTGAAGTGAAGTTTTGTGGCTTGGGATTATTTTCAAATAATGAATGAACCAATCTGAAGTTATCCCAATAAAAACAATACGCAGCAAGTCCTAAAAATACCAGTTAATTTTGATAATTTAATATGCCATTTATAGTCATCCAAACATCTTACTCAATACTGTTATGTACAAAACCGACTGAAAATAAAAAAAGAATTTAAATGTTATCTTTCAAATGTAAAAGTGCAATTAACACAGGCAAAGTTTTTGTAAGAACGTTACATTTCCATAAATTCACTGGCTACATAAGAGCCTAACAGGCATATTGCCTACACTAAAGTGAACGAGGATTTTATTTTTTGTCAATTTGAATAAGCCTGGTAGTTGATAAATAAAGTTTTACAGCCACCATAATTATGGTACATACATCCAAAAATGCATAGCACAATTGTTTTCATAATCTTCAGTTTTACCGACTTTAAGAAACTTAAGTAGAGCAACAGTAAGATCCATAAAGTTCAGAAAATAATTAACACCATAAAACCTTGTATCAAGTAAGTGTGCACAAAACAGCCATCCTGTATTGCTTTCTCCAGAATTCTGATAGCTTTCCAAAGATGTTTTTTACCTCCAATAAACATTCTTCCTTTACAGTACTGAATGGATTTTCTGGAACAACATTTACATTTATGATCTTTCATGCATTACATATTCACAATTTGGAAAGAAATGGAAGGCCTTCATACATGTCGGCCTTTAATCTTATCCAGTCCTGAAGTCTCTGCAAAGTCGTTTTATCTTGTGTTAATATTTTTGCAGCTTTTCTCAGTTTTTCTTCATTTCGTTCTAAATAACGAATTCCATCTGTCTGCAGCTGATTGAGTTTCTCTTTACGACTTTCATCCAGTGGTATGTCTTCATTCATAAGAGGGTTAAATCTGAAATAAGTATCTGGAGGTAACAGTGCATCCAGCATGGTGTGAACTTCTGTATTGAAAACAAATGAAGGAAACGGTTATATTTACATGAGACAGACAAATCGTCCTACAGTCTCTGAATGACATGTGCTCTGGAGCGACACAGTAAGTGTAAATATGTGCTGCTTTGCTGAGTAAATGTTTTTCCACCATTGCCTTATCAGAAACCCTTTCTCATTAGAAGGTTTGCAAATGACCCTGTACCTCTGTTTGCTCTGGAAAAGCTTCATCTTTTAGTCTAAGACAACTTCACTGGTATGACAATTAAGGAGGCTTTGCAGCTATCCAGATTTTTAATTACATGGACATCCCATTCATTTACAAGTGAGAGCACATTCTGAAGAGCAGGA